TTTGAGACAGAGCATCAAGCTGTCACCCTGGGTAGAGTGCCGTAGCGTCACAGCTCACAGCAACCTCCAACTCCTGGGCTCAAGTGATTCTCTTGTTTCCCAAGTAGCTGGGACCACAGGCGCCTGCCACAGCACCCGGCTATTTTTTGGTTGCAGCTGTCATTATTGTTTTGCGGGCCTGGGCTGGATTCGAAGCTGCTACCTCAGGTGAATGTGGCTGGTGCCTCAGCCGCTTGAGTCTCAGGCGCCAAGCCATGAAGCAAAAATCTTAAAGGTCCTTCTGCCTGTTTTTCTGAGAAAGCAAACTCAGTGTGCAGATGCTGATTCCCAAGAAACTGCCCATACACTCCTGTCATCTTTCCCTACAGCAAGGACAGTGGAACTGGGGACTCTGTGGAAGCAGGCCAGGCTCACAAGACACATGCCCCATCCACCAAATGAGGCCTACTTGATTTCATATTGGTCTCAGGGGTAAATGCTCAGAACCAGTATCGAGTCACATCTGTGCTCAAGGCTGCTGTGGTTCTCTGGCACACTCAAACATCTTTGGAGGCCCTGCAGATTTGGAGAGAATGAAAATCCTGTTGGCCACTCTCAGATGTCCCTACATTGTACTTGGAGATTGCTCCTTCTTGCTTTTGCCAGGAGCAGGGTTCCGAGGCAGCTTCAGGCACTTGTGGGTCTCTGGGTCTGCAGAGGGCAGAGTGGCCAAGCTAGCTCACCCCATGGAAGGCTGCCTCTCCCCGCTGTCGCCAGAGCCTGGCTGGGGTCTCCGCCCACTTACAAATTGGAAAAGTGGCAAGGGCTGGCCAGCCAGGTCATTTAAGTTTTTCTGGATGATGCTATTAAGTGGTTTCTGAAGCACCTGAATTATCACCACAGAACTCTAAGCAGAAGCAAGTCTGCAGTCTCACTTCTCCTCCACCAGTCCTGTTAAAATACATTCTTCCTAGCCAGGTGCAGTGGCTCACACCTGTAATCTTGGGAGGCTGAAGCGAGTGGATTGCTCAAGCTCAGGAGTTTGAGACCAGCCTAAGCAACAGCAAGACCCTGTCTCTACAAAAATAGAAAAAACTAGCCGTGTAATATGGTGGGCACCTGTAGGCCCAGCTACTTGGATTGCTCAAGCCCAAGAGTTTGAGATTGCTGTAAGCAATGATGCCATTGCACTCTATCCAGGGTGACAGAGTCAGACTCTTTCTGAAAAACTATATATATGCATACACACACACACACTCATCCCATAACTGCTCGCTGGGCACCTAAGTGCCCACAGGTGCCTAGCCATGCTCCCTACCCATGATGTGTTAACCTGTCCTCTTCTATCCACTGTACCCTCTTGGTCTTGGAGAAGAAGAGATCAAATCAGGCAGAAGTGCATGTGGAGCCTGACTCCATCCCACACTGAGGTTGGGCCTATTGATGGTGATTTGGGGAAGGTAGTAAGCAGACATCTCTGTTCAAAGACTCCAACACTAATGGTGTCTTCCTGTTACAGACCTCTCCTGGGAGCAGGCAAGGCAGTGGCAATGGGCTCTGTGATCTCCTACCATCTCCTCCTTTGCAGTCCCCTCTCCACAGTATGACACGGCAGTGGTGGCTAGAACTGAGCTCCTCCTGGCTTCCTCTAGACTCAGTCTGCATGCACGGAGCATGCACTCAACAACTCCAAAGGTTTAAGCAAGCTCATGGCTAGAAGTGAGAAAAGCAAACACAAATCATACAAAGGAAACTGAGCTGACTCCTGTATCTCCTTTCATGGTTCCTCAGTGAGAGGTGGGACTAACCTCGAGGCTGTCCAGGGCCTGTTAAATGCTGTGTGCTGCTGGTGACAGTGGTGGGTATGGTTATAGGCAGTTAGATTTTGGAAGCCATCTTGGACCCCTTGGCCAGGGACCAAAATAGGGATAGTGCCATTAAACAGTCCCATACCAATAGGGGGGTCAGAGATTGACCCCACTGAAGGGGGTATTTATACAGTATGTGAAAACCAACTGTTGATGGGGTCAGTCCCTGACCACCCCTCCCCTCCATTAGCATGTGACTGTTTACAGATTTGTTCCTGGCTGGGCACAGAGGCTCACACCTATAATCCTAGCACTCTGGGTGGCTGACATAGGTGGATTGCCTGAGCTCACAGGTTCAAGACTAGCCTGAGCGAAAGTGAGACCCCGTCTCTATTAAAAAAGAAAAACTGAGGCAAGAGGATCAATTAAGCCCAGGAGTTGGAGGTTGCTGTGAGCTGTGATGCCATGGTACTCTACTCAGGGAAACAGCTTGAGACTTTATTTCCCAAAAAAAGAAAAAAAATTTGTTCCTGACATAGATTTCTTCCTGCATCTGTAGTACACTAGGATGGATCTGATAGCTTAAGTATAGCAGTGGCCAAGCTGCATTTCAGAACTCAACAAAGGGTGACACAGACTGGGCTAAGGCAAAGGTCGGAACATAGCTGGGTCATACCATGCTTTATACACATAATTATTGCCCTGGTGTCAGATTTTCTGCTCTTACTTCCTATAAACAGACAAGAATGAACTAGAATAAGGAGACTGGTTCAGCGCCCAGAGCTTAGTGAGTAGGGCACCAGCCACATACACTGAAGCTGGCAGGTTTGAGCCCAGCCTAGGCCTGCTAAACAACAATGACAACTGCAACCAAAAAACAGCCGGGCATTGTGGCAGGTGCCTGTAGTTTCAGCTACTTGGGAGGCTGAGGCAAGAGAACTGCTTAAGCCCAAGAGTTGGAGTTTTGCTGTGAGCTGTGATACCATAGTACTCTATCAAGGGTGACATAGTGATACTGTCTCAAAAAAAAAAAAATAGAATAAGGAGACAACCCAGGAGAATCACTAGATTAACAATTCTAGACTTGGTTGGGTAGTGGCTCACACCTGTAATCCTCTGGGAGGCCAAGGTAGGTGG